CTTCAATATCTTGGATATGCATCCGATTGTCCTTCAAGGCCATTCCTGCCAAAATTTAAAGTCAAATGAGCCCCGAAGCGGGCATACTCCCAACCCAATTTTGATGATTTTTAAATGCTATAGCAAATAATATTTTAGCGATTTAGATTCCGACGTTAAAAAATGACGATAATTATTGTGGACATCTGTCAAGACATTGGATATATTGTTGGTTGGCCATCACGGCCAGCACTACCCATGTATAAGGTCAAATGATCCCCGAAGCGTTCATACCCCCCATTTCGATGATTTTGGTGTGATCACACACCATTTTTTTTGTGATCCAGATCCTAACGTCAAAAATCTCAAAAAAAATTGTGGACGTCCGTCAAGACCTTGCCTATGTAGTTGGGTGGCTCTTATAGCCAGTCTGACTCATTTCCAAGGTCAAACGAGCTTCGAAGAGTGCATAACCCCAAATTCGATTATTTACATGTACTATAGCACACAATTTTTAGGGTGATCCCACATGAGCTTGTGTATGAAGCCGGTAGGCCCTCACGACCAGTCTTATAAAACCCCAAAAATGACATAGATGAAATAGAGCATAACATGTTGCTATTGATGGTTTAAGGTCCTAAATATGTCTAATATATGCTATAGAGGAAGTTTTTAAGAGTTTAGGTATATTAGATGTCAAACATCAAGGGACGACCAAGACGTTCGACGACTAAGATACCTATGTGCGTCATATGAGGTTTTATATGTTTATATGAGATTCATGAGGTTTTAAGGTCCTTAAATGAGTTAATATACATATATAGGCATTGTGTGAAGTTTCGTGTAGTTTGGAGGTCAAATGTCCAAGAACGTCCATGATGTTTGAAAGATGTGCCTTGAAATGCACTTCTGTGTCTAGGCATGTTTCGTCGAGTTTTACAAGTTAGTTTTGGATGAAATTCATGTTTTGATTGGAAATGTCCGGGCAAACATTCCAAAGGAATAACCACGGGTCCTTGAGGAAGGACCCAAAACTTGGAGTCAGGACTGTCCCAGGCAGCCCCCAAATGATGAAGACATCAACAGATCGTGGGCCTATAGATGCCCCTTCGATGGATGCAATTTGTAGGGAATTTGATTGGAAAGGGAGGAGGACCATATCAAGTCTCTAATCTAACAAACATAAGGATAGGACGGTCCATCGACTTCCAACCGTTGGTGGACGATCTTCTTGCGTGCAGTTCACTACCAAGTTAGGGGTGAATTTGTAATTTCACCCCACTTTTAAATAACAATATTGGACGTTTATTAGGGGTCTTTGGGTATTTTAAACATACATATAAGTGTTTAACATTTAGAATATTTCATTCTTCCAAAGAAAAACCCCAAAATCCTTTAGAAATCCTCAAGACTCCATTGAAGTCCAATGTCAAAGAAGAGCTTGGTGTGACGAATTAAGTGGAGATTCTTCATCAAATTAAAGAATATGCTTCATCAAGGTATCTCTTTTGATCGTTGAAACTTGTTTCATCATGGAGTCCCAATTTTTAAGATGTTTCCTAAGTTTTCAAAGTTTTATTGTCGAATTTCATGATTATACCATGGGTTCTTGCATCAAATATTTTTAAATGTTTATTACAAATTAGACTTGTGTTATAATGATAATTTAACCTAAATTACCTATGAACCCATGAATTGGATGAACCCTAGTTTTTTACTATGTTTTGGGTTAGTTGATATTGATCTAATGTTGATGAATTCTTATGTAATTTTGTGTGGGCTATTCATTGATGTAATAAATGTAGTAAATTGATATCTAGGTTATCTTATATTGATAAATCCTTATTGAATTGACCTAGTTTAATTGATTTTCATAGTTTTAACATTGAATTATTGTTCATGGCCATAGGTAAGGGCCTTATGATATTCAATTGGATGACTTAGCAATGAATTTAGGTGTTAAGAATGTTGTGGTGGTAATCTGTCTTGTTCCCTTTGTTTTGATGTTTTTTATACTTCAATTATATTGTGGTTGGTATGGTCCACATATGGTGGTGGTGTTATGTGTTTTACTTGCAATTGATGTGGCCTTGTCGGCGTTACTTTATGCAATATTATGTTCATGACCTTGGTGGCGCTACTTGATGTAATTTGGATATTTGTGTAGTTCATTATGTGAAGTATGATGATATCTATCAACATGTTAAGCAACGCGAAAGTATATGTGTTCTATTGATGTGATGTAGGTGATCATGTTAGACTATGATTTTGACTTTATGTGTATAGTCTTAGGGTTAAGTATTGGTTATTCCTAATTGACTATATGAGTCTATAATGGTAATATTGATGATGTTGTAGTAAGGTATAGGGTGACATAAAGATAGTAACGGTCATCCTAAGTGTGTTTATAGAATTATATTCTATATGTGATAAGGTCAAAGAATGTACTTTCTGGTTTGATTGACTTGTGTTCTTTACTTCATATATCAATGAGTGTTATGAGATAATGATATGTCTTGACTAGGTATGCTTAGTGAACCCTTATCATGTATGAAAAAAATTGATATGTGAGAACTTAGAGGATGTTAAGAAGGTCATGTACACGGTAAAGGTTATGTTATGAATGTTGAAGTCCAGATACATAATGGTATCCTTCATGTAAGCGAATGGTGTAACTAAGGTTCACTACACCATTTTAGGTCTACGGCCACACTAAATCTGGACAACGCTTATAAAGTGTTGCCTAAAATACTTTTGGGAACGCTTTTAAAGTGTAGCCCAAGATTTTGACTTTTAGCTAAACTAATATTAGCAACACTTCTAAAGTGTATTCTTTAATGGGATAACCTACACTTTATAAGTGTTGTTATATTTGGCAACAATTTATTACATAAATAGCCACACTTTTAAAGTGTGTTTTTTTTATAATTGTAAATAGAACACATTAAAAATGTGGCCTTTGTGTTTTCACCAAAATTTTATATTCCCTTCAACAATTTTTCATTAAAATTTGATCTTCCTCATATTTTTATTGGGCCAAAAAAACATTAAAGAAATATTTTTTTCACCTAAAGAACGAAAAAGATAACATTTCCTAAAACTTCAGCTGAACAACTGAATTTGCAAGAGCTGAAGAAGAGGATCAAAGAACGGAAGAAATCAATTTGAACTATGATTTTCATCACATTTTTCTGTCAAACTTTAGCTGAAGAACATCATTTTCAGCTGAAGAACCGAAGAGCAGTGCGATTTCTGTGGAGATGAACTGAAGAAGATGATTTTCCTCTCAGAGCTTGTTGTTGAAGATTGGAGAGCTGAAGAACACGATTTTCTTCAAAGATTCCTCTGGAAAATGCCGTTCCATCAGATTTCCTATTGAAAATTGAAAGAAAATGCTTCACAAATAAACATGCCTCATGTGTTAAAGCTTTACGGTTGTTGGAATAGAGTTTATCAGGTAAAATTTTATCATCAAAAGTCTAAATTATAGCTTTAAGATTATAATATTCTTGTATGTCAATCAAAAATTTAAGTTAGGGTTTTTATGTTCTTGTGTTGTTGATACGAATTTTGTTGATTTTGGGAGTTTAATTTGTAGTTGTATTACGTATAAATGGGCAGATTACCTTTGATACACTAGTTTTTTCTCTTGAATATTTAATGTAGCAGCTGAAGCTAAGTCACTTTTATCTGAAGAATTGAGCTGAAGCTAAATCATCTCTCTTCGAAGAACTGAAGTGTTGAAGCTGGCGATACGTACGACATTTTGTCCCTTATATAGATTTTGTAAAGTGTAAGTAGCTACCTACATGAATTTTTAGAAGGTTTTAATGTCTGTTTTAATATGTTGTCACAATTTTTTTTGTTTTCCTGAGTTCATGATTGTTCTCGCCTTAAGCTTGGTTTGTTAAGTAGCTACCTACATGAATTTTTAGAAGGAATGTGGATTTAAACATCACAAGAAAGCTGGTGCAATGAATGCTCTGGTTTGTAATGCATAAAGTTTTTAGTTTTGCTCTATATATACGTGATATTTCTGCTTATGAGCTTAAAATCTATTTGACAGGTCAGGGTTTCTGTTGTGCTCACTATTGTTACTTATATATTGAATTTGGACTATGATCACTATTAACAACAACAAAACAAGTAGGGAAGTTATGTGTTTCATGATGGATCCTACTCTTGAGAAGACAATTAGGTATGTTCAGTTCCCTCAGAGATTGGATGGCATTGATATGAATGATCCGTATGCTAATAGGAATACTGTTTCTTTGATGTAAGTGTAAACTTTTAAAATCAATGAGTACATATATGTTTAACATATCATTTCTCGAAGCTCTTCATAATTGAATAAGTTTGTTCTCAAAAGAATTTTTAAACGATATTTGAATAATGTGGTATTCTAATAGAAACTTATGTTTAAGTGAAGTTTGAAGAGCTAAAGTGATTTTCTTATCTAAGTAATTGTACTTTATCGTTATGAAAACAAAGAAGAAATCAGCCACTATGAATCCATTTTATTTCTCGTAAGTGAAATTTTTTATAATCATTTTTCACTAGAATATGGTTGTCTTAACTTGTGTGCTTATAGGTTCAGCAGCTGCCAAGTTTTCTCTAGAGTTTTACCAGGTTTTTTGCTGAATCATGGTTCGCTTTGCAGGTTTTACAAGCTTAACATTGTTAATGACAGTACATAAACATATGTAATATTGTCGTCATGATTCATATATAATCATGCAAAAATGAAGTGTCTCAGTGAATCTATTAATAAGTTATCTAAAATAAAAAAATTCAATCCATTAATAGACTTGACCAGTGTACCATTTTGAAACATAGTATCGTATAGTTTTCTCAAATTTTCCATTGAAGCTGGTTAAACTTGCTCTCTTTTTGTATTGTTTCAATATAATACTATCGAAATATCATGCTTATAAATTTTAATTGTTGAAAAATGATGTTATATTTAAAAGTTCAGTTCCCTGTGTCTTGAAGGTTTAACTTTGTTTGAGCTAATACTTAACTTTGTATTTCCTTAGGGGAGGGGATGGCATACTCTGTCGGTGCAAGTGCAAATTATACACTGCATGTGACACTGTTAATGCTGGTGAGGTAAGGCTTATGTATTATTGAACTTCAAATGCTCATACTCAAATAATGTCTGCTTTATGACCTGAAGAATGAAAGTATGGTGTTTGTCAAAGCTAAAGTTAAGGAGAGACTTCTCTTATATGCTCCTTCGTTAAGTTATGACTTATTGTAAAATTTTTAGAGAAGGGATACTAGAGAGGTTAATTTGATGCTTATGGACTGCTAAACAAAATTTTCTTTTGACCTTCTCATCCAGCCAAATAGTGGTGTAACTGAAATAAAAGGAATGGTTAACCTAACTAATGAAAGTTCATCAGTGCTCAATTTTTAAAACATCATACTAGTTTTTACGTATGCTCTTGAGAAATTAGGTTAAATATTTCTTCTAGTTGTCAATATGTAGTTTACATTTCTTGTGTATTTGACGATATGGATGAAGTTTTGTATACATGTCCATACACAATAAGGACTAAGCCAATTATTTTGAAGGTCTGGCATGCTGAATTTGATTTCAACACTGAGGTGCTAAAAAATGTACTAAATATTGCTGCTTGTAGGCGCTAATCAGCTGTTGTTGAAGCTTTAATTGTTGCATCAAGCACATTGGTCTATTTTAGAAACAATGCCGGAGAATACATTTCTATTTCTCCATTACTTCTTTCCAAACAATGCTGGAGGGATGTGATTGATTCTTCTAATTGTATGTATTAGTTGTGTCTTACGTATTAGTTGATCTCATTAGGAAGTGCTACTTCTCAGGTCCAGCCTAGGAGTTGTTTGTAAGGCTTTCTCTGAAGCTATAGTAGAGGATCTTCGTAAAGGAGGGGTTGCAGGTTGACAGCTTATTGCTCCACATGCATATAACTGGAGAAATTGTTGCTAAGTGCTGCTAAATCTTCAAGGATTGATTTTATTTATTTATCTCTTTTTAAAATGGAATGGTGTTGTGTGAATGGAAATAGTCGATAATAAATAAAAGGGTTTGAGCAAAATGGTTTTCTTAATTAATATAAGTGTGATTTTTTGTTTTTTTGCCCTTTATGTTTTTTTCCCTCTTTGTTCTACATGTGCATGTACTTGTTATGGTAGTAATTTATGGTATAATGGTTTCAGTAACCTCTCGCTATAGATTACTGGAAGTACTATTTGTATTCTGTAATTAGAGAAAATGTGAAAGTTAGAGTATAACTTGATCTAGCTTATATCATTACATATTTGTCGACTACGTGTTTGAAAGATGTTTACGATATATATTTTTTCTATGGCCCTTGTAAACTAATAAATCTATAGGTTAGTCATATTTTTAAGCTGGACTAAAGATCATGAGCACTTAAAACTTGTTTATGCTTTCGTTCTTTAAATCAAGACCACACTTTGTCTTCATAATTTTAGTGATGAATTTTGAGTTTTAGTACTGAAAAGATAATATTATGTGGTGGAGTTGAGAGATAATGTTGAATTTGCATCTTAATTTTGTTGAATCTTTCAAATAGCTCTGACTTGTTGATTATTTTTTATTTGCAGAATGCAGGTATAACAACACCACTAACATAATTCATTTATGATGTCTTGAAAGCTTAGCGGGACCATGAGAGGGCCAAGTTTTCATTTCTTCCATTGACGAATCTCGTGAGTGATAAATTATGTTTCATATTTTGTTGAACATTGTCTATTTACTGTGGTAAATTTCTTATCGACTTTTAGTAAGCTGGATGATGAAATAAATCTAATTTAAAATATAATCATCTCTTTGTATAGCTCTTCTTCTCATTATAAATCTTCACATCCTTTTTTGACCTCCAAGCTCATTGTTGACTGGACATAAGTTTGATTATCATACAGAAATAGTTAACTACAAACAAGTTAAATAGCCTAACTGCTAAATATTGTTTTCAAATATAGTCACTTTTTGTTGTGGAGATAAGCTGAAGATACTAGAACTTTTTGCTCTTTTTTTGAATGAATGTCTCTGACAAGTATTCACATGTACTGATGATGTCTGAATTTATTTACATTGAACCTGGCATCATTTCATGCTTTTGTTGGAATAAAAAAAACAGATCCTGAGATCCTCATTATAACTTTAGAGATTGTTGTTGTATTAGTAAAAATAAATTCATCGAAGCTACATGCAAGTGGTACCTTAGTTGCTATTTGTCATATCCTACTTGACTATGTGTTATTCATGTTTTTGGGCTGGACTAAACATTATTAGCACTTAAAATTTGATTATGCTTGCCTTCTTTACAAGTTTCCCCAATTTCTAGTGTTGGATATTTTCTAGAATTTGTTAGCACCTTAGTTTTGGATTAACATTTTAACTTTGTTTTGTAGCACCTTAGATTTGTTAGAACCTTATTTTTTAATTAGCCCTTTGTTAGCACCTTAGCCCTGTTTCACACAGTCTGCAAGAAGTTATTTTTATAATGAGGATACAGAAGATGAAAACTATGAACATGGTTTCTTTCTAATGTTTGATTCGTTAAACATGATTTGTTTCTGATTTTTAATTTTATTTTGAATGTGTAGGAGAGTGTTGGCAATCAAATTTAAATGGTGGCCACAAATCAGTTCGATTGATTAGGGCAAGATGATCAAGAGTTCTTGAACTATTGTAGAAGTTTGAATATGTTATGTTTTGTTAAATAAATAGGTAGTAGTTAAATTGCATTATGACAGATTGTTTTTTTTTATCTGTTTATTTAAAATTTATAAATTTGAATTATTTATTAGCTAATTTAATGTTTATTTATTGTAGACCAATATTTTAATTTCAATTAAATAATTTTTGAATCTAAATATTTTTATAACAAAAATAACACTCATCAGTTCAAAAAGTGTTGTCATACGGACATTAACTATGTACCTTATTTGTTGGAAATTGTCATATGTATATAGGCAAAGACAACACTTCAAATTGTTGATATAGATAACCTAGAAAATGCTATGCTTCATAAGCATAGCCAATAAGGAAGCAAAGGCTACGCTTAAAAGTGTAGTTGTAGATAATAGAAATGTTGCCATAAGAGGTAATGCAAAGCGTTGCCTTTTTACATTATAGGCCACACTTTTTAAGCGTAGCTGATAGGACAACACTCAATAAAAGTAGCCTAAAGTCTAAGGTTACGCTTCTTTAGGCCACCCCTAAAAAGTGTTGCCTAAAGTTGAAAAGTTTGACCTTTTATCAAAGGCAACACTTTCTGCTAGTTTAGACTAAACATTACTGGGGTGGACGTAGGCCTAAAATGGTGTAGTTTTTTTTGGATTGAACGACATCATACTAATCCTTAGGAAACTATTAATTATCTATCTTAGTTCCCATTTAAAGGTAGCCCTAGCGGACCTCTTCCGTAGGGTGAATGTGATTGGGTTATGGGCTATATAAGGAACCTCTTCATATGACAACCAAGGCTATCACCGATTTATTATGTTATGGGAAGTGTCTCTACTTGAGAATGAGACTAGAGTGCATAAAAGCGCTTCATATTCCTTAACCATGTGCCTACATGGAAATGTGTCTATGACACTTTGAAAATCCAAGACGTATCGTAATGCCTAACATAGGTTCATGAGGTCTATGTATCGTTTTTAAGTCCATTTTAATTATTATAGGTCATTTAGAAAGTCTAACAATCAAAATACCAAAGAACGTCCATGAGGTCCAGAAGTTGGTTCACAGAGGTACTAGCGTGCCTTAGCCTATATGACTAGCTTTTAGGAGTCAAAAATTAATGAAAGAGTTGTGAAAGGGTAGTAAATAGGAGTTTAAGTTGTTTCATGGTCGAAACTTCTGGGTAAGACTCCCCAAGGACCAACCAAGGGCCCTTGATGAGGACCCCAAAAGGTTGAGGCAACACCGTCTGAGTAGAATGCATGAACAAGGTAGGCAACGGCCAGTGTGTGGATAGATGGGGTGTTGGTTCCACCGTTGTCCACATTTAGGAAAATGAGGAAGACCTTTAGTCTGTGAATTCACCTACGGAGTACAAGATGGAGGGGAGGGGGGGTTGTCCGTCGACTCACTGACGGCCCCTTGGCGGGGTTCCATCTTAAAGGGTCTTGAGTTACTGTGTGTGCTAAATGTTAATGAAACTAATTATTTAACTTGCATAGGGTTTATTTAGGGATTAAGGAGATACGTATTAACTAATTTAACTTCCATATACCGGCCCAAACCCCAATTAACCTGATTACAACTCTCACATAAAAACTCTCTTCCTTCTCTCTTATTTCTCTCTCTACTTCAACTCACCATTGAAGACTAGCAAGGGTAAGGGTTTGGGGGCTTGACAAGGACGAATTCACCATAAATTCTTCATCAAAAATTAAGGTATGTATCTAATTAAATTTTGAGACTCTTTCCTCAAAGGGTTTCTTTAAAATGGATTTCAAAAGTTGAGTTTTCTTATGGGTTTCATCCCATTACGAATTTCATGTTGTGAACTGTGTTTTTTATGGTTTCATTAGGATATAATGGATAGATTAACATGTAATTGAACTTTTTTATTATTAATTGACATGGTTTATTTCAAGTTGAAGAATGTGATCTTTAACCCTAAACCCTAAGTTTGATTTTGATGTAAATTTGATTGTGATTGATTCAATTGTCTTTCTTATGGGTTATATCACCATTAAATGATGTAGTTACAATAATCATTAACAAATTGGAGTGAATTGTAGTCTTTCTGGCTGGTCTTGAGAAGATGTTGTAGGTTAGAAGGTGAGTTAACCTAGGCTTCTTATTTTTAACTATGATCTAGTATTGAATTGTGGTATAGTGTTTATTATAGTCCTGTTATCATGTTGAATATTTAAATATGATGTTTAAAATGTAATTTGGATTGAATTGAGGGTTCATGGTAAGGCCTTCATAAGGAACTATGTGGAAGACTTGGTAAGTCTTTGAATCTCTATCTTTACATTCAATTGTGATTTAGTAGTGGTTAAGTGATGATATTATATTGGAGTATGCCTTGTATTAGTATTGATATGGTTGTATGATGTTGAATTGAAATATCTTGATTATGGCTGTGAGGTTGTTAAGCTGTAAAGGTTATAAGGTTGATGATATATACCAATGTGCCTTTTTATGGAATGATATGCAATGTGTTGACCTCACCACCTATATGAATTGTGATTAAAGGACTTACACTCATACAATTCTTATTGAGATATTGATGATGATGATTATACAAGGGGTAGACCCTATAACCTAAACTAAGCTAAGATTGATAATTAAAGGCTTAAATACATTTTAAAAAGGGACTCTAGCTTAGCACCGAGTGAAATAGATTGAGGAGTGTTCCTTCCAACATACGGATGGTAGGAACACTAAATTACTCTTGAGATGTGAGACTATAAAGCATGGTGCATAAAGAGGGTCCCGACTACATCTTTTAGTTCTTGAATTATGTTGCCCCATAGGAATACATGCAGTCGATCCACGTAGTTTCTATGTTTCATGTTTTGGTACTACCTTGCATGTAGTCCACCTTCTTTCGGTGTAGTGTATTATGACACCGGATTCCACACTAGCTCATGTGGTCTATGTAGGTTACAGAATGATGTTCCCAAAAGGTAAAATGAATTAACGGAATTAAACTCAAACTTGGATACCTAGCTTAGTCTAGGTAGGGGTATATGACTCTACTTAAGCATTTCACTAGTTAGCCTTTAGAAGAGTCTTAGGATGATGGTCTTATATATGTTTATGTAATAATGATATTTGATATGTACATGATGAACTTATACATTGTTGATACTATATGTTGATTAGTCCTCATATGAGTATGCATTGGGTTATACTGTTAAGATAAGGTTAAATGCATATCTAAATGTTATATAATTTAAAGTACGACATTGGTTCGGGTTTGTTGTTTAGGTCAGTTTATTGAGTAGGGTTATGGGTCTTTACTTGGTCATTGCACTTGTTCATTTGATAAGGATTCATGAGTTTTTGTCTTGGTTTATATGTAGTGATTAACTCCTAACAGTATTTGTGATATCATTCCTTGATGGTAAGGTTGTATTAAATCACGGATTCAAGTATGTTGGATACGTAATATTTGTTTTAGTTAGTAAGCATGTTTGATTGGTTGGTATGACTTTCTTAGTTATGCATGCGACTTTTAAACTTATAAAATGTCATGTTTTGGCTAAACATACCTTTTTAGCATGTTTTTACATTATATGTGTGTATGGTCTCATACATAGTACATGAGGAGCACTAACCCCATTTCCTTCGCTTTTCCCCATCATTTTTAGTTTTCGGTCGTTGAAGTATTTGGAAGACGTCACTGAAGGAGGCTTGGATTTCCTAATTCATCCAAGTAGGGTAGGTCCTCAACTTCCGAGGGCAATGACACTATCTAGGTTACGGACTTGTTATGAGTTTAAATACTCTTTCCTTTCTTTCCTTTTCAATAAAATATTATAATTTTGTATGAACTATATGTGGTCTTGTTGGATTGATGTAATGGTTATGCCCAAATTTGATATACTCTGAATAGATGGTTATGATATGTGACGACTTTATGACTATGTTTTTTTTCTTTTAATAATGTGTAACAATAGTAGAAGGTTGTGTAACTTTCCTATACGAAGGGTCTTTGTATACTCAATATGACTATATTATGTGTATGTAGAGGTCTATCCAAATCTACAAGTAGATGCAATGAATTTTTTTAAATTTTTCTGCAATTTAAACCTATGAACGTAATGACATGAGACTAAGAGGCTAGTCTTAGTCCTTAAAGAGGACGACGATGCCGGTTACGTCTAGAGGGTATACCCGAATGTGCCAATGTCCTAGTTCTACACTTAGCAAGTATAACACCAACATCGGAGTAGGTTAGAACTCTTGATTCCATGTATAGCTATCATGGTCTATTGTCAGTTATTGCCTATTCTAATCATGTGGGATACTTATAGCATTAAAGAAGTTCCATGAGGTTTGGGTGGTGGTATGGGACACTTTCTACACATTGCATAATAGCTTTAAAGGTATTAGTTGGAGTCCCTACGTCTTGCCTAAGACAATTACTTGAATGTCCTTTATGTGATGTATCAATCTTAATGAACTAATAACTTATTTAATGAAGAATGTAAATGGAATAAGTACTTATCTAATGTAGTTAATGGTTGTCTAGTTAAGGTAAAAGGTCATAGGAATGGTCACTTCGTATCTTACCTACATGCGTCTTGAGAATGACTCTAGTTAGGGAAGTTGTTGATTATGTGGACATGATCCGAACTTAGGAAGTCTTATGGAATATTTTTATAGACTTCTATGAGGAAATGTCATATTATGTATGTGTTGATGTTTATGTTGTTATTAAAGTGTGCATGTGACTCGTTATAAGTGTTCTTGAGGGTCATTTAGTTATGCTTAGGGAGGTTTTATCGGCTGTCTCCCTTTGTGTTGCTTAAGTGGGTCTTAGGATAGATTTTAGTGCGAAGACTACATGCTAAGAGTTGTTAAAATCATAAGGAAAGCACTTCACAGTAAAAGTGAAGAACTTCACTGTACAGTGGAATGAGTTCACGGTAAAGTGACTCTTAAAATGTGATGTTTACTTTAAATGTTATCTTATGTGTTTCTACGTTATTTAATATTGTTCTTATGATTATAGTATGGTTTTCA